GTCAGAGTGCAGACGCAGGACAGGAAGGTCCGTGTGGAACCGCTCGCGGAGCTGGAGACGTACAGCGCGGATCCAAGGGATCAAGACATCAGGGGACTTCCCCCTTGCTGCGCAAGGGGAAGACCGTGGTGTAACGCGAGTAGTCATCAACAACCAGCAGAAAATACCGCTCGCGGTCCAGTCCACGAACGCGGGCTGGTCCCCACGCATCCATATGGAGAGTTTGCATGGGAGCAGTCATCGGGGGAAACGAGGAGGAGTGAGGAGCGGCGTGCTGCCGCCCCTCGACGCAAGGAAGGCAGGGCGGGGCAGACGAGGGCGGGAGGGGAGGTAGAGACTTGGGAAGACCAGAGACAAGGAGGCGGGAGTGCATGCCACGGAGGCGTGGCAGGGAGGGGTGACCAAGGCGGTGGTGCCAAAGGAGAGTCTGGTGCGTGAGGAGGCGATACAAACAGGGGGCTACTACCTGACCTGACGCAGATACCTGATTAGGCGCAGCCACCTGAGTAGGCTCAGTAGTCAGTGTGTACAGACTCGACCCAGGCCGACGGGTGAACGTGGCCAGGTAACGGCCCGTCCGTGTATATGTACAGATCGCCACAAGTTGACCAATAGGAGTGGTGGTAGTGACCATCGCATCCTGGAGGGCAGCGGTTCTCATCAAGTTCGTAGAGAACGAGGGGAGGTGAAAACCTGACAGTGAGCCAGACGGAACCGCCGGACATGGGAGAACAGTGGAGGAGCATGCAAGAACCGGGCCCCCTGAGGGGTCAGCCAGAGAGACTGCAACAGGTGCAGGGAGTGGTGTGACTGTGGCACCGTCACGAAAGAAACAGCGGGAAGCACCTGAGTCAAGCATGAAGGTGTGCAAGGCCTCAGCAGGCGCAGTACCAGAGAGAGCAGATGCACTAGCACCTAGAGCAGCAGCCTCTATACCTGGGTTGGGCGCCACACACAGGTAACAGTCACCCTCAGCACTAACAGTCAAAGCAAAAAAGCCAGCAAGAATAGCATCATAGTCAAGAGCAAATATATCCACATCGTTCCTAAGCAGCTCTAGCCAGCGGGGGAGCTCAGCCTCGTCGCCAAACTCTGCGCGCCAAGCGTCGTCAAGACGGAAGAAGCAGCAGTACTATGTGTGAGCAACCTTCCCGCATGTCTGACCAACGCGATCACCTGTGCGAATGACGTACGGGCAGCGAACACTACCCCCAGACGCCCCACGCTGAGCAAACCACTCACGAAGCTGCTGGGGCGTAAGGGTCTCGCGCAGAAGCTAATGCTGCTGCCTCTGGCCACCGCCAGAACCTCCCCTCTAAATGGCTCCACCCCGATCGCCACCACTGCCGCCGCTTCCACTCCCACTGCCGCCACCACCGCCGCCACCACTCCCACCGCTACCACCACTGCCGCCACCGACGCCTCCACTCTCACCACCACTCCCAGCGCCTCCATCGCCACCACTGACACTTCCACCGCCTCCACCGCCTCCATCACCGCCTCTACCGCTGCCACCTCTCACTCTTGCCTCCCTTGCCCTTGCCGCTGCGGCGCCTCCCACTAGGAGCAGACGCAGCCCCGACCTCCTTAGCTCAAAGGAAGTCAACAGCAGCAGCAGAAGCGACAGAGGGGGCAAGGGGGGAAGGGGAACACCCCTCAATGAAGGGAGTGCGAGGTTTGCCACGAGCAGCACCTACAGCGACTATGCTAGTCTCAGCTCCAAGGAGGTGCTTCTCGAGCTGGTCGACAGTGAGGTCAGCGGGGTCAAGGGCGAGAAGGAGGTCCCTGACTGAGTGAAGAGAGAAAGGGAGGCGGCTGACGAGGAAGTAGAGAGTGATGTACATGGGGGGCGGGGGGGGGGGGGGGGGGGGGTTCTTGTCGAGAAACCCGGTTTTAAGCGCGGCGCGGTAGCGAGTGTCGCTAGTGCGAAGGTGGGTGATGAGGTCGGCGACTGTGGGAAAGGCTGACAGCTCGGGAAAAAGGTAGGGCAGTATGAGTCGGCCGAGAGCAGCAGTGGCAGGGGAGGAGTAACGAGCAACTACAGCGTCCAACAGTTCTTTAGCAGTCTTGTGTTGGCTAAAGTGCGCTCGTTCGGCTAACGGCAGGTGGTTGCGAACGGCGAGGCGAGTAGTAACGTCAGGGGTAAGCCACTGTGAGCGAGTCGCACTGTCAGCTGTCTCGGGAGGAGCGAGAGAGGTCCCAGACGTGTGGTCAAACAAGGAGACGCCGTCCCTAGACTCGCTCTGTAGGTACAGCTATAAGTCGTCTAGCCAGGTCTCAAACTGGATCGGACGGCCCTCAGAATCGAAGGTGGGAACACTACGGGAAGCCATAGCGGGCAGAGCAGGGTGGCGCGCAACCAGCAGGGTAGCATGCAGGCAAGGCAGAGCGGCGAGCAGGCAGCAGGACGGCGCGACGGGCAGGGCGGCGCGCGGGCACTAGGGAAGCGCGCAGGGCAGGGCGGGGCGGCGCACGGCCAGGGAAGGGCGGCGCGCGGTCAGGGCAGGGCGGCGCGTAGGCAGGACGAGGCGGCGCGCTGCCAGCAGGGCGGCGCGGGGCACTGGGGCGACGCGACAGGCCGGGCAGGGGCGGCGCACGGGCCCTAGGGTGACGCGACGGGCAGGGGAGGGCGGCGCGCGGCCAGCAGTGCGACGCGACGGGCAGGGCAGGGCAGCGCACTGCTAGCAGGGCGGCGCGACGGGCAGGGCGGGGCAGCGCGGCAGCCAGCGAGGCGGCGCGCGGGCAGGGCAGGGCGGCCCGGCAGCCAGCAGGGTGGCGCGCGGGCAGGGCAGGGCAGCTCGACTGGTGGGGCAGCACGACAGGCAGGGTAGGGCGCTACGAGCAGGGTAACGCGCTACGGGCAGGGAACTATTCGGTGGGCCCTAAAAAAAACGGTCCTGGAACAGGACTGCTATGAAAACATGTGAGAATACTGAACGAGAATGGTTGCATTGAGATCAAAATGAGTACAAGTACTAACCCTAATTGGGTTGTACCCCTTATGGGCAACCCCGTGACAGCCTACATAATATATGCATTATGATATTTTTACATTCGCCACATCGCACGTCACTTTTGCCAAACCTCGCACTTCTGGACCTGGCCGAGTCGGCCTACTCTTTAGGAATAGCTCGAACCTCGCTGCCAACATTGCACTAGCTAGCTCACACGTACTGTGCTGAATACAACCAAAGGATCAGTGGACAGGATAGGATGTGTTAAGCCTGAAAGGAGACAGTGAAGTCTCTGTAGTGACCTTGTTGAATAGTAGTTGTAAGAGAACAAGATGATTAGAGAGTAGGAGTACAAGAGAATGAATAGCAAACTATCTAGCCATGTACTCTGAGGGGTACATTCCCTTATTAACTGTATTACATAGCTACAGTAACCACGACTATTGCTATTCTTGACAGTTACCGTGTTGCAGTCTGTTAACTGTCGCGCGGTTACTGGATCGTCAAGGGTCACGACCGTTGACTATCTTAGACGGTTGACCTTCGGGTGACCCTCGAGATTCCGCGTGCTCTATATGAGCTAATGCGGTACTAGTACAGTGGAGCAACTTCGGGAATGCCTTTATAACCTTTCGGTTATTCCAACACACTGCATTACCGTTCTGCTTGTTCGCTGTATACGTGTGACTCTTTAGTAAAATCTTCAATTGCACCCGTAACAACACTTCAGAACACCTAGTTATCACAAACTCTGGTCACCCGCCAAAATGTTAGAATGCGGCTCGGTGTGCCATATGGTTTTTTGTTGCGACAGACTTCCCGCAAAATCCAAGTCGCGCCAACGCTCGACCCAGAGACGACAAAATTGGGTTGACCGAGGCGCGCATGGCTTCGCGAAACGGGTGCGAAACGCAAAAAAAGTGTGCAAAACTCGTTCAACCGGCTCTTCTTTGCTAGAGGCTGGACGGAAAACTTGCGCACCTGCGGTACTCTTCCAGCTTGGAATTGTGAGGCCATCACCCTGAATTTACAACGGCAGTTGTAATGCGCTGCCAAGACTCCCATTGCCAACTATGCATAGTCTAGGTTGATACATCGACGCACCCGTCCCGTTTATGTCTCACCATCTCCCACACGACTCTGCATAGTCTAGGATATAGGATCTTCCATCGTCAGCACGGACTAAGGGTCTCCTCATCACCCCGTTCACCTCATCAACCCCAGCGATCACCTTAAACTCGGAAAACCTCAGAGCTCGTGCAGATACCAGGGCAGTCCTACAGACTCTGGCAAGCAGCAAATGTCCCTCAGGTGGACAAAATGGTGAGTCAATCAGTGTCCCGGTAGGAGACAATGGGCCGAGACGGGAGATAACCACATCGCGGAAAAAGGTAAGAACTGAAAGTGACATCCATGTGACACTCCCGTCACTTTTGCGTATCCACTTTGCGTCACAAAAAGTCATGGACAGAATTACCAGAGAGTCGCGTTACCTTGCGGGGCAGTCGGAGCGTCTCCCTGCTGACGCGGGGTTGTTGTCCCAACCTATGGATTGTAGGACAGCTCCATTCACACTATCGCCAACAACCTCAGTAAGCAATGTGGGGCCTTCGTCTCAAACAACACTTTGCTCTTCATCGGGCTCTCTAAGTCTCAGTACCGTAATCGAGTTTGGCCAGAACGATGCCTCATCCATATTTTCGCGGCATCATCATCCAGGGTCGTTATATCCTTATCAACTATTTTTTTATCCCTATCAACCGACGTGCACAGGCACCCGTAGCAGTCCTCGCCGCTCTCGCTGACGATGACGTCGCTCTTTTCTTTGGCAAGTTACTGCTTGCCTCCTTACATTGCGAGTTAAACCGCCAAATTATAACTCCAGCAGCAGCGTGATATCCACTTTTGCGCTGATCAATGATATAATAATAGAATAAAACAGAATAATGAAAGCGTTACAAATGCCTTTTATTTTCTAGAATACGCAGCCCTAGCAGACCAACAAGGGCAGAGCTTCTAGGAAGGCGCACTAGCCCCAGGCATTCGCTATTTCGACGCTGCCGGTTTTGAGAATCTTAACTGCCGTGACGTGTGCACGACATCACTTTTACTTGGTGTTGCCCTTGGTGCTGGTACTGCCGCTGGTGCTGGTGCTGGCGCTGCCGCTGGTGCTGGTGTTACCCTTGGTGCTGGTGCTGCCGCTGGTGCTGGTGCTGGTGCTGCCGCTGGTGCTGGTGCTGGTGCTGCTGCTGGTGCTGGTGCTGCCGCTGGTGCTGGTGCTGGTGCTGGTGCTGCCGCTGGTGCTGGTGCTGGTGCTGCCGCTGGTGCTGGTGCTGGTGCTGCCGCTGGTGCTGGTGCTGCCGCTGGTGCTGGTGCTGGTGCTGCCGCTGGTGCTGGTGCTGGTGCTGCCGCTGGTGCTGGTGCTGGTGCTGCCGCTGGTGCTGGTGCTGCTGGTGCTGGTGCTGCTGCTGGTGCTGGTGCTGCCGCTGGTGCTGGTGCTGGTGCTGCCGCTGTTGCCGTTGCCGTTGCCGTTGCCGTTGCTGTTGCTGTTACCGTTGCCGTTGTTCCAGTTGACGGAGTGGGCCTTGTCGTAAGCCGCCGAGTCCGCGTCCGCCTGGTCCGCAACAGCCTTGAGAGAGTCGGATCTCGCCTTGGTATTTTTGTAGATAATCTCGGCCTGGGCGCGAGCAGAAGCGGCCTGTCCGAGCGCCACCTTGTTATCCTTCGTGACCTTAGCCGCGTTTAACGTCTTCACCTTAACGTCGGCCGTGAGCGAATTGATAACAGCGGGCAGCGTTTTCGTGTCGTTGAAGTATTTGGTGTACGTGGCTTCCGCATCTGCCGCGTCCTTCTTCGCCTTGTTCAGGTCGGGCAGGTGATCTTGCACTGCCTTCTTCGTGTCAACCTTGTCCTTCATCGCGAAGGCGAAATCGGCCTGCATCGACTCCAAGGCATCCTTCGCGAGCGCCACCTGCCTCGTAAGCGCCCCTTTAATACGATTCGCCTGAGCGCGGGCTAACTGCGCTTCGGCGGCCTCTGCCTGCGCTGCCGGTGTCTTGAGCTTCGCGGCGCGTCGCGCGTAGTAGGTGGAATCGGCGGTGGCCTCCTGGGCAATGAGGATCTGGTCCGCAAGCAGCTGATTGGCGAGGTCCAGCTGCTGCTGCGCGGGGACGAGGTCCTTTTCCAGCTCTGCCGCGTCGATGTCCGACTCCACCGCTTGCTGCTGAAGCTCGTCGTGGTAGTCCTGCTCCGCCTTCCTCGCTGCTCGTTGCTTCATCATCTCCTGACGTGCTGGCTCGACCTTGACCTTCGCGTCATCCAGCTGCTGCTTTCTAGCCGTGAGATTTGTCTGGGCGTTATTCAACGCAGCGTTCGCGTCGTCGATGATCTTCTGAATCGCAGCCTCCGCCTTGAGCTTGTTGTTGTAATCCGCGAGAGTTGCATTCGTCACAGCTTCAGCATCAAGAAAAGCTTTTCGGGCCGCTTGCGCCTTGATCGCCAAATACGACTGGGCATCCGCTCCTGAAAAATTCGACACGACCAGAGCAGAAACGAGAGCCAAAGCCACAAATGGAATGTAGAACCTAGCCATAGCTTGATGCCTGATGGTTATTGGGTTGGTTGAAGAAGAATTCACAAGGATTGATTGAAGCCGAACGCTGTTTGCTGGATGACGAATGTGTTAGGCGTGACGGGATATATAGCTGGGTGGGATTCCACCGTCCTCGAGGGAGAAATGAGTTTGGAGCTGGTTGGAATGGCCACAAACAAAATCTGCATTGTATGCGGCTCGCAGTTGCGCGCTTCGGTTTGGAATAACCCACACGACTCGCATGCACACCCTCAACGCGCTTGTGTTGCTCCCTCGTGTTGCTCCCCAAAATTGGGACCTGGAGGGCGTATTTCGAGACCCGGTAACATTCAATAACTTGAGATGTCTTGGTGAAATTGTCAGATATCGACCAGCGTAAAATGAACCTATTTCTTTTCCAGAAACCCTTCTGCGCCTAGAAAACACGGCCTCGCGTTTTGCGATAGTTTCGCCGTGGGACATGTTGCGCCAGTTTTCAGCGGCTGGGTATATGCTGCCAAAAACATCACATCGGCCACTCCCAAAAACCGCGAGGAAAGTTGGATGGTGGTGGGGTAAATGTGCCAGGAACAACTTACGTATGTGGTAATTGCGATGTCAAAATACCTATCGCAAACATACTTAGCCCTACGGCTCGGCAGGGCTACACCAGTTGGTGAAGCTGACCAGATTCTCAGCGGCATTAGTACAGTTCATTTTTGGGCATCCATCAGTTCCCACCTGTTCGCCCTTCACTGACTTGCTAGGAAGAAAAAACGCTGAACAACTAGCCCCCAGAAACTTTACCATACAAGCTGATTCGAATGTGACCGGAGATTCTAATGTAAACTTCTCACTGAAGTCATTATCATTGTTTTCCTCCAACCGGTTCAATCCTCTTGTCATGTCACCCTGTAATATGAATTTTAGGCAACAGTATCAGACCAAAACTGTGTACCCCATATTTCGTGCTGCTGGCACAAAAAAAACTCGGTGTTGTGGCAACCACTGTCACAATAATCTCGCTACTATCAGAGTACCGTAATCCCCCGCACACTACACCCCCCAAAATAAAACACCGATGGGTGTTTAATTACGGTGGGTGTACTGAAAAATACACCAGTTAGAACACCCCCCATATTTTTTGAAATTATCAGTACACCCTTCCCTTCACCAGATGTGAATCGCGAAGGCATTTATAACGAGTTTTCATATCAGGAGCGATGTGTCACCCCCTGAAACGTTTTCGCGCGATGCTGGGGAGCTACTCTCGAATTATATATCTCAGCGGACAAGCGAGTCCGCCCGGGGGAGCTCGCTGCCCGCGGGCAAAAAAAAACTAAACCCCATGTTGGGCTGAGATAAGCCCTTAGGATCTTTTCAGGGGTGAACTCTGGGTAGGAACCTTGTAATAGCGGAAGCGTTTAATGAAGAGTTTGTGAACCACCTTGCGCTAGTATGTGAGGGCAAAGTAGATTGATTATATCAAAGAGATACAAGATTATATAATAGTACAAGGAATATAAAAAGGGTACGGTTATAACTACTTTACTGTTTGCTGTTGCGGTTCGATACAGTACGACTCGGGCAACTGCTCTGTAACGAGTCAGTTGTGTGTCCTTAACTGTCGCGCTGTACTTGTCAGGTCAAAGGTCGCTTGACCTTTGACTTTCGCGTAACCTCCAGCAACCTCTCAACCTCCGAGGGTTGACTCGCACTTGCGTCGATATTGTTTTCTTCACTTCTGGTGCGATGTTTCGACACGGCTGAAGCGCTTAAGTTTCACTGTTTCCAACACTCCCCTTCGCTTCTGGAGTGTCGCTGCTGGTGACGTGGCTTCGCATCGCCAACAAGAACGGCTTCGCGAACAGGACGAAACACATCGCCCTACGCTACTTCTTCGTGAAGGACGAGATCGAGAAGGGGAGACTTCAGCTGTCATACTGCCCCACGTCCGAGATGGCAGCCGACTATTTGACCAAGAAGCTCGGAAAGCAGAAATTCGAGTACTGCATACTGCTGACTGGCGTGGAGATCGTGGCTGGTGTGAGACCGAAGCGCTTGGCGATGGTGTCGGCGTACTTCTCGGCGCTGAGGTAGATTGCGTCCTCTTCTTCTCGGATGTTGAGGCCGAGGTACTGAGTGACGGTAGGCGAGACCGTGAGTGTGAGGTCTTGCTGTAGCTCCCCTTCGAACCAGGTAGTGATGCCGTCAGTTGACCCGATGTAGAGGAGATCGTCTACATAGACGATTAGCAGGACGTAGTCGTCGTTCTTCGTGAGTCGGTACATGCCTTGGTCGTGCGGGAGTTGCTTGAAGCCGATGCGGATGAGGCGAGCGTGCAGGTACTGTTGCCACAGTCGCGGAGCCTGCTTGATGCCGTAGAGCGACTTGAGCAGCTGGCAGACTTGGTTGGGCTCTCCGTAGGACCCGTGCGGTAGCTCGACGAAGATTTCTGCATCCACAGGTGCGTAAAGAAACGCGTTCGCGACGTCGATTTGCCGCAGCTTCTTCTTCTTCATGGCGGCGATCGCGAGGAGAATTCGGAGTGAGGTGTGGCGGCTGACCGGAGCGAAGGTTTCGGTGAAGTCGCGCCCGTGCTCTTGGTCGAAGCCGCGTACGACCCAGCGTGCTTTGAACTTGTCGATGGTGCCGTCTGCTTTCGTCTTCACTCGGAAGACCCATTTTCCGGTGAGTATAGTCTTGTTTCGTGCTACGCCGATAGGGACGACCTTCCAGGTGTTGCGTTCCTCTAAGGCCTTCAGCTCCCTGTCCATGGCTTCGCGCCATTTTTCCTTGTGCTCCCCCCCCAGAGCCTGCTGAACCGTCGCAGGCTCCCTAGGAATGTCGGCGCCGTGGACTGCGGTGACGAGTCCAAGGATTTGGAGTCCACTCTGTGTGTAGCGGGGGAGTGTGGTGTCCTCGGGATAGACTGCTTCGTCTCCAGCTTCTGGATCAGGTGCGAAATTGGGCCCTACACGTTCTGCTTCGTTGGTGTTGACTTGTTCGGGTGTAACGTAACCGTCGTCGGCGAACTTGTAGAAGACTTCGGCGTTGATGCTTTCGCGAGGGTTGTCGTCGTCCATTGGTACGTCTACCCAGTAGTATGGTAGTGGTCCGGCTTCTTCCGAGGCTCCGTCCACGTTCTGCTCGTCCCAGTCAGCTTCGTCTTCCGCCGAAGCGAAGGCTCGGGTTCCAGTGAATCCGCCCGAGGGATCAGGTCTGTTTGCTCTTACGTAGGCGAGGTGAACGTCGAGGGTGAGGTTCTCGTAAAAAAGGACGTCACGTGCTGCGACTGTTTCTTTACTGTTGATGTCGAAGATTTTCCACGCGTTGTAGTGTTTTTCGATGCCCAGGTGTACTCCCCACTGTGCTCGCTGGGAGAATCGACCGGCGCGTGCAGATGGTGGTCGGTACTGTACCATGCACCCGAAAACTCGTAACATTTTTGTGCTGCCCAATTTTCCTGTCCACAGCAGGTGCGGTGATGCGTTGTTCGGGAGCGATGATGACGAGAGCAAGTTGTGCAGCATGACGGCGTGGTCCATTGCTTCGGGCCACTGGTGGTCGGGCAGATGCATGCCACGTAACAGCTTGCGCATGGTGGCTTGGAGTGTCCTGTTCATCCTCTCTGCTACACCTTGCTGTTGATGGGCGTAGGGAAGGGAGATGAGTCGCTTGATTCCCCTCTCTGCCAAGTAGTCCTTGAACCTCTGTGAGGTGTATTCTCCTCCCCCGTCTGACTGGAAGCTTTTCAGTTTTACGCCCGATTCTCTCTCTGCTGCAGGAAGCCAGGCGACGAACGCTTCGAAAGCCATGTCGTGGCTTGGTAGGTTGAGGTGCCAGACGTATCTGGTCGCGGCGTCGATGAAGGTAATCGTGTAATTGTAGGCGTTTTGTCCGGGCTCGCGGTTGTACAGGATGTCGCTGTACACCTTTTCGAGTGGTGCGTAAGCTGGTGCGCTTGGATTGTGGTGAGATGGGAACGGTTGATGCGTTAAGTCTGCTTCGGGGCAGGTGAAGCATGTTCCTCGAGCTCGTTGTAGTTCTCTGCCGTCGGTCAGTAGAAGTGAGTCTTTGTCAAGCACTCCTGCTCGTATCGTGTTGTTTAAAACTGTGTGGCTCGGGTGTCCCATTCTTGCGTGCCAGGTTCCCTCGCTGGCGCGGTGTCCGGGTGAGCGGCGGTACATATCGGAGTTGGAGTAGAAGGCGGCGGTGACGTTTGCACTTCGGTGGACTTCTCGTCGTGCCGGGTTGAGCTGCTGCGCGGGTGTCGGTGGCGTGTCGTCGATGAAGGGCGGTGCCGTTGAAGGACCGGCAACTGGCGTTGATGTTCCTGCTGCTGCTGTTGTTGTCTCTGCTGCTGCCGATGTTGTTTCTGCTGCTGCCAATGTTGTCTCTGCTGCTGCCGATGTTGTCTCTGCTGCTGCCGATGTTGTCTCTGCTGCTGCCGATGTTGTCTCTGCTGCTGCCGATGTTGTCTCTGCTGCTGCCGACCGTTGAATCGTTGCTAACGCTCTTGTTCTTTCTGTTTCAGGAATGGTGTGCGAGTACCAGAAGCCGCCCGGACTGAAGTCTGGATCAAGATCCGGAGGATGTGTCCAGTTGGTGAAGTTTACGATGGCGTCGCTGTCGGCCGTGCCAAGATCAGGAACGAAGTCAAGAACGAAGACGTTGTTCTTGAGGACCGCCTTCCCGATGTAGAGGCCTCCTCTCCCGTGGTACAGCTTGAACTCTTGAGTTGTGCTGTCTGCTTCAAGATGAATACCCTTCGCCATCAGCTGGCTAACGCTCAGTAAGTTGTAGCCGAGGCCTTCTGCGATTAAAACCTTGGACATTTGCAGGATGACGTTCGTTTCACGTGATTGAAGTTGGACGATTCCTTGTCGTCGTGTGCGCAGGTTCTGGTTGTTGGCGACGGTGATGACTACTTCTCGTTGAAGCTGATACTCTCGTTGCACGAAGCGTCCCGAAGAACACATGTGCTGGCCGCAGCAACTGTCTAGGAACCATGTGTCTTTCCCGGATGGCTCGCTTTGGGCGATGGCGGCGTACGTCGGGTTCGGTTGAAGTAGCTCGCGGCGAGGTGTCGTTTCATCGAGCTGTTCTTCTGGTGAGTAGTACGGTGGTGATTCCGTGACGCAAGAGTCACTCAGTCTTGCCATACAACTAACGATGTTTTTTTCTCCTTGTGCAGGTTGTCCCGTTGAGGTCGTTGAAGTTTGAATTTGAGTCGTTGGATTCGTCTGTGTTGACGTGACTTGGTTGCTTGAAGGTCGTAGCTGCCGCTGCGGAGTCGTTGACTGTTGTCGATTCGGGCAGTGTGTGCGTGGGTGCCCTGAAGTCTTGCAGATGTGACAGAAAGGAGGTACGGGCTTTGGTTGTTGTTGCCGATGATTGTTGTTGTTGTAGTGTCGCTGGGTGTGGAATGCGAATTCTGATGCTGTTGTCATTTTCTTGTGTCGTTCTTCTTGCAGGTCCATGTCCTGCTGCTCGGCGTGGATTTCGGCGCAGAGTGCTGCTTCAGAAATTCTTCCGTGGGCTCGAAGAATGGCCTTTGTTGCGCGCCATTGGGGACCGAGACCGCCGATGATGACTGTCACGAAGGCGTCTTCAGATATTGTCCCTCCGCATCGAAGAAGCTTGTCGCGCAACTCGCGACAGCGACTAATATATGCCAGCCCCTTTTCTCCTGGTTTCATTTCGACTGTTGTCAACTGCGCCATTAACCTGCTTTGGTTTACGCTGTCTGTTGCTTGATACAGGTTCTTCAGGTGGCTGTATGCAAGCTCCGCCGAGTTGCCGAAGGCCCGGTAAGACCGTATGTTCTGCTGCTGAGTCGGTGTGACGTTTCTCAGTAGAATCGTGTACGCCATCATTGACTGATAGGTGTACTGTTGTTTCTCATACTGTGTGCTGTTTACTGGGTATTGCAGGGACCCGTCGAAGAAGCCGAGTATCTGCGCGCCTTCCATCATCAACTCGAACTCGAACGACCAGGTGAAGAAGTCCTTTCCGTCGAAAGGTCTTGAGGTTTGCAGCTTCAGAACGTGTGCAAACTGTGATTGAACTTGTAATGCGTCCAGTGGTTTGTCTTGTCCAGGTGAAGGCTGCGGCATGAAGCTGATCGACCCGCGCTCGTACGGAGCGAAGGTAGGTTGCTGCTGTTGGTTTCCGTGCACATATGACGACCCGTCGAGGCTCATGGGCGTCGCTCCGTTGTTGTTGCTGTTGTGTGACTGTGCAGGTCCCGACTGCTGGTGCTGCTCGTAGAAGGACATGAAGGAGAAGAATTTCTCCATCATATTTTGGTCGAAATCCGCGGGGTGATTTGCGGGAGTCTCAGTAGACGTCATCCTTGGTCTTGTTGCCGTGCCCTCCTCTGTCTGCAGGCCAGAGGCAGGAGGTGGAGTAGGGGTAGTGCCCGGGGAGCCGTTAGAGGAGCTCCTTTCCTTGTTTGTTGCCATGTCTTGTAATGACTTGATAGTAGTGGAGTTTCCCCTGTTTGCTCTCATACCATGTTGGGCTGAGATAAGCCCTTAGGATCTTTTCAGGGGTGAACTCTGGGTAGGAACCTTGTAATAGCGGAAGCGTTTAATGAAGAGTTTGTGAACCACCTTGCGCTAGTATGTGAGGGCAAAGTAGATTGATTATATCAAAGAGATACAAGATTATATAATAGTACAAGGAATATAAAAAGGGTACGGTTATAACTACTTTACTGTTTGCTGTTGCGGTTCGATACAGTACGACTCGGGCAACTGCTCTGTAACGAGTCAGTTGTGTGTCCTTAACTGTCGTGCTGTACTTGTCAGGTCAAAGGTCGCTTGACCTTTGACTTTCGCGTAACCTCCAGCAACCTCTCAACCTCCGAGGGTTGACTCGCGCTTGCTTCGGTATTGTTTTCTTCACTTCTGGTGCGATGTTTCGACACGGCTGAAGCGCTTAAGTTTCACTGTTTCCAACACTCCCCTTCGCTTCTGGAGTGTCGCTGCTGGTGACATGGCGGTGGAGGTGGAGGAGGTGGCAGAAGAAGTGGTGGCGGGAGTGCTGGCGGGAGTGGTAGCGTCGGTAGCGGCGGCGGAGGCGGTGGCGGCGGAGGGGGTGGCGGCGGCGGTGGCGGCGGCGGCGGCGGCTGGGGCGGCGTTGGCGACGGCGGTGGCGGTCGGGGTGGAGGCACTGGCACTGGTCAGAGACAGCAGCAGCAGCAGCGTCCCCTTACGTCCCAGCAGCTTCGTGAGTGGCTTATTCAGCGTGGGGCGTCTGGGAGTAGTGGTCGCTGCCCGTATGTCATTCGCACAGGTGACCGCAAGGGTCAGACATGCGGGAAGTTTCACACCCAGCACCGCTGCTTCTCCCGCCTTGACGATGCCTGGCGTGAGGAGATGGGCGAGGAGATGGAGCGCCCTCGCTGGCATGAGCTGCTTAGGGCTGGTGTAGACATCTTTGCTCTTGATTATGATGCTATTATTGCTGCCATGTATGCATTGGAGGTTAGTGCTGATGGTGAGTGTTACTTGTGTGTGCCGCCCGACCCAGGCATAGAGGCTGCTGCCCTAGGTACTAGCGAGTCTGCTCTCTCAGGTACTGCGCCTGCTGAGGCCTTGCACACTTTCACGCTTGACTCAGGTGCTTCGCGCTGTTTCTTTCGCGACAGTACTGCACTCTCACCACTCACTGCACCTATTACAGTCTCACTGACTGACCCCTCAGGGGGCTCAGTTTTTGCACGGTCCACCACGATGCTCTCGTGCCCGACGATTCCGTCTGGCTCACTGTCAGGCCTCCACCTCCCCTCGTTCTCTACGAACTTGGTGAGCACTGCTGTCCTCCAGGATGCGGGGATTGACACCTTCACCCTTGGTTGGCAGCGTGTGGCGATCTGTACGTGCTCCCAGGCCGGCCGCCACCTGGCCACGTTTACCCGTCGGCCAGGGTCGAGCCTTTACACACTGACGACTGCACCTCCGGTTGCTGTCGACTCTGGTGGTGCAGCCGGTTGCTGTCGACTCTGGTGGTGCTGCTCGGGGTGCTGCGTCTGGGGGTGCTGAGCCTGTGCGTGAGGTGCTGGGAGTGCGGAGCCTGGGGGTGCTGAGTCTGCGAGTGCAGAGCCTGGGGGTGCTGAGCTGGAGGGTGTCGGGTCGGGGGGTGCTGAGACTGCTGGTGTTTCTCCGGGTCCCTCTTCACGACGGGGGCCTCTCTCGCTACAGCAGCTACGAGAGTGGCATGCGTGGCGTTCCCGCCTAAGGAGCCGTGCTACTGGAGCCGGAAGACCTGCTACTGGAGGTACTGCTACTCGTGGTGCTGTGGTTGGAGCTACTGGAGCTGCTCGTCATGGAGGCGCCGGGAGTGCTGGTGTTTCTAGTTCTGGAGGTGCTCGTACTGGAGGTACTGGAGCTGCCAGGACAGAGCGTGCTGCTACTGGAGGTACTGGTGCTGGAGACTCTGGAGCTGGTGCTGTCGACTCTGGAGTTGGAGACCTTGGAGCTGGTGCTATCGACCCTGGAGTTAGGGGCTCTGGAGTTGGAGGTGCCAGTTCTGGGGGTGCTGCTGCTGGAGGCACTGATGCTGGAGACACTGGAGCTGGTGCTGTCGGCTATGGAGTTGGAGACCCTGGAGCTGGAGGTGACGGTTCTGAGGGTGCTGATGCTGGAGGCCCTGGAGCTGGAGACTCTAGAGCTGGTGCTGTTAACTCTGGAGTTGGAGACCCTGGAGCTGGAGGTGCCGGTTCTGGGGGTGCTGCTGCTGGAGGCACTGGAGCTGGAGACTCTGGAGCTGGTGCTGTCGACTCTGGAGATGGAGACCCTGGAGCTAGAGGTGCAGGTTCGGGGAGTGCTACTGTTGGAGACAATGGAGTTGGAGACCCTGGGGCTGGAGGTGCCGGTTCTGGGGGTGCTGCTGCTGGTGGAGCTAGAGCTGGGGGGGCTAGCACTGGAGGCGCTGGAGCTGGAGGTTCTGGAGCTGCTGGAGGCGCTAAAGCTGCTGGTACTCGTACTGGAGGCGCTGGTGCTGGTGGTGCTAGTGCTAGTGGTAATGCACAGCCGCGACTGCTCTTCACTCCGCCGTCACCGTCGTCTCTGCCACAGCCTGACTCCGTGCTTCGCCTAGTTCTTAGCCTCCCGTCTTCAAGTAGCCTCCTGTTACAATAAGCCAGGCTCACCACTGCCTGCTCCTTCTCCTTACCCTGATCAGATAGACTCGCTTACAGAGCGTCGTGAGCCTGCGTCTCGTCCTGCCTCGCCTGTTCGCGCTGGTCGCACTGGTCGTCGTGTTCCTCGTCAGCGTCCTCCTCCTGTCCCCGGCACGCACACTATGTCCCTTCGTCCTTCCTCTGTTCCTCTGCGCGTTCCCCTGCCGTCTCCTCCTGCGTCTTCTCTGCCTGACGTTCCGGACCCTGAGTCTGACCTGGTTTGTGCTGCTCACCCTACTGTCACGAGTCTGTTAGCCACCGTTGTCACTGACCCGTCGTTTGAGTCTGCTGCTGCGTCTGCCCTAGTCTCTGAGCTTGTTGACTTTGCTGCTGCTTGTCGTCTCGACTACGCTGCTAGTCTTGTTGCTGAGTCTGAGTCTATCTGTCCTCCGTCCGTCGGGGGTGAGTGTGCTCTTGGCACGGGCGTCCTTGAGGACAGGCAGGAGGACTTTGAGTGTCTTGCAGCCGCTGCACCTCATCTCGTGGCCATGCTGCTTGCCCTTGAGGGAGACCCGGATGCACCAGACATCCCCACCCAACGCTCTTACGCTGAGATGGCGATTTCGGGTCCCTACTCCTCTCAGTGGCAGACAGCCATGGACGCAGAGATGGCATTCTGGAAGGCCAAAGGCACTTACGTCAACGCAATTCCCCCTCCTGGGGCGAACATCGTCGATGGCATGTGGATTTTCAGGGTGAAGCGGCCGCCGGGTTCTCCGCCTGTCTTCAAGGCTCGTTACGTTGCACGAGGCTTCAGTTAGCGACATGGAGTTGAATTCTTCCAACCCTTCTCGCCCACCCCGAAGATGACCACTCTTCGGGTGCTGCTGCACGTTGCCGCTCAGCGTGACTACGAGCTTCACTCTCTTGACTTCAGCACAGCCTTCTTACAGGGCAGCCTGCACGAGGAGATCTGGCTGCGCCGCCCACCTTGCTTCACTGGGTCGTTTCCTCCTGGTACCCAGTGGAGCCTCCGGCGACCAGTCTACGGTCTCTGCCAGGCGCCTCGTGAGTGGCACGACACACTGAGGACGACACTTGCGGCTCTTGGGTTTGCTCCTTCGACAGCTGACCAGTCGTCGTTTCTCCGTACCGACACTTCACTGCCGCCGTTCTACATCCTCGTATACGTCGACGACTTGGTCTTTGCTACTGCTGACACTGAGGCACTCGCCCTTGTGAAGTCGGAGCTGCAGAAGAGACACACGTGCACAGACCTGGGTGAGCTGCGCAGCTACCTTGGCTTGCAGATCACCCGGGACAGAGCACGGCGCACCATCACCCTGAATCAGACACACATGGTGCAGCAGGTCCTTCAGCGCTTCGGCTTCACTTAGTTCTCGCCACAGTCCACTCATATGGCTACCGTTCACTCGCTCTCAACTCTGCCTTCGGATGAGTCCGTAGAACCTCGTGGCCCGTATCCAAAGCTTGTGGGCTGCCTCATGTACTTGATGACCTGCACTCGACCTAAAATTGCCTGCCCCCTTAGCATCCTAGCTCGCTACGTTGCGCCTAGGAGACACCGGCGACAGCACTGGGAGGCTGCTAAGAGGGTGTTGCGCTACTTGTGCAGTACATCGGGCATGTGGCTCGTGCTTGGAGGACGGGGTGAGGTTGTCCTCACTGGACACTCAGACGCGTCTTGGGTTGACGACTTGGCTACGCAGCGGTTGTCACAGGGTTACGCTTTCAGTCTAGGCTGCGGCTCTGTTTCTTGGCGGTCTACCCGCTCGTCTTCTGTTCTCAGCTCCAATTGTGAGGCTGAGATCTAAGCCACAGCCATGGCTGCACAGGAGTTACGCTGGCTCACCTATCTGCTGACTGACTTGGGAGAGCGGCCTCGTTCCCCTCCAGTTCTGTACGTAGACAACAAGGCCGCCATTGCCTTGTGTTAGGAGCACAGACTGGAGCACAGAACGAGGCACGTCGCTCTCCGTTACTTCCTGGCTCGAGAGTTGCAGCAGTGTGGTCAGCTTCGTCTTACTCACGTGCCCATCCGGGCCAACACTGCTGATATATTCACCAAGGCACTTCCGTCTGGTGATCATCTGCGCCTGCGTACTATGTTAGGCCTTGTGCCTGTTTCGTCTCACTTGCTTACCTCGTGACTTTGCTTGTACTGTGATCTATATATATACCTGCATGCTTGCTCTTGCTAGGTAGTGATCACTGTACTGTTGCTGTTACATATATACCTCCGCATGAGAACTGGCCTTGTGCCCCCCCCCCCCTTTGCTTGTGCTCGAAGAGTGTGGTGACATTGAGATCCACCCTGAGCTTGCCTTGCTTTTCTTGACTGGTCTTGTGACCCCTTGTTCTCCCCCACTTTGCCTATGGGGGTGTGAAACTATATATTTTATGTTATAATGTGTAGGCTGTAGTGGGGTAGCCAATATGGGGTACAACCCCTTTAGGGTTTCTTCTTGTACCCAACACTCTCTCATAGTTCGCACATTCTTGCTTCTCTTTCTGTTATAGACTAAGGACTCAGTCTATGAGGATTAGGGGCCGAAATATCACAACAATCTTTGGCTTGGAATTCTGGACAGAATCGTCGAGTTCACAAGAAACGTCGTCGACGAAAACTTCACCGTTAGAATCTCACGAAAACCGAGTATGTTGTAGCTCAGGACCGCGGCTACAATTCCCAAGTTGAATCACGTCAACCGGTCAAACCTTGAGTTATCAATTTCGGCGCACTAGGGGGTATGCTGCCACATAGAAACTTAACTCACTCACAATAGTTCTCACAAGATCCACAAAGAAGATTAGAGTAGCAATCTATCAGGTAGGAGAGAAGAGGAGGACGAGAGGGAAGGTCCCAAGAGAGTCCCCAACCAAAGGAAACCCCATGCCACACAATTCCCCTCTCTATAGTAACCCCACTTTGACTTTTGTCTCTTTCTAAACCTCCACAATCCACCTCACCCCAACTTGGCCACACTTGCCAACCTGGTTTGGTTTCTCCCAACCACTTGGCAGCATCTACAGTGATGGGGACGAATTTCCCAACCCCCTAAAGTCTGTATCCCATATAGAGTCAATCCCACAACTTTCCATAATCGCCGCAACCAAATATGAAAAGCATACGAACTCCAATGTTCGTAACTTTCTTGGTCGTGCTCCGATCGCGACGATTCTTGGTTCGTTGGAAAGCTCGGAGTCACTTCAAATATCTGCTCAAGACAAACAACATTCACACACACACACACACACACACACACACACATACACACACACACACATACACACACACACACACACACACACATACACACACACACACACACACACACACACACACACACACACACACACACACACACACACACACACACACACACACACACAC